CCCCCCCGCATCCTTTGGCTCCATGTCCGTGCCGAAGCCGGAGCTCCCGTGCCCGCTGTAAAGCAGCGGGAACAACAACACCCGACACGGCGCGGGGCCGGGGGCACCCGCAGCCCCCCGGGCGAACCGGGACCCCCGCGGTCCCGCAGGCAGAGCCCCGGCTCCCGGCTGCAGCTCTGCATGTGTGTGCTTTGTGCCGCTTGGAAGAGGCACCTTCAGCTGCCTCTGGGCAGTCGATCGCTTCTGCTGGGAAGCCCCGTGACTTTCAGCTCTCGGGCTCAGTGGTTATTTCTTACCAGCGTGGCCTGAATTTGTGTTTTATTTATTTTTTTTTTAAACTTAAAATAAGGAGCGATAATCCTGGCGCAGTAACTGGAAAGATTGACATCAGATTACTTCTGCTGTGTAAAGAAAGCCCAATGCTACTTCCAGCCTGTTACTTGCCAGCATAAGGATTTTACAACCCTCTGCTGTTGCAGTTGTTAAATAAGCAGAGGCAGGAATCCCGCTGCTTACTTTCTTTGAACTCCTCATTAGCATGTTACCCCGAACCGTGAGATGGCTGAGGGATTCATTTCTGAGAATGCTTCAAGGTTTCTCAACAAGCTGCTGCTGCAAATCTATATCTGACTATAGGGATAAATCCTAAAATCTATGCTTGCCAGGAAGGTCAGGGCAGCCAGCAGAGATGTATCGAACCAGGCTGTCAGAGCAGGCATTGCAGGCCAGGCTCGTTTCTGGTGCAGCACTGCTAATTCCTTTGAAGTAACACGAGGGATGAATTTAGTCCCTCATGCTGAAAGATCTATCAATAGGAAGCAATTTAGATTGGGCCACTTAAAGTGCATGTAATACAAAAAAGAGAGAGACCGAGGAGTAATGCTTGAAGGGTTCACAGAGGTTGATTTGTGTAAGCTAGTGAGGTTGTAGCACTGCTGTCCCAAGGGAAAGCTGGGGGAATGGGAAATTGCCTTTTATGGCACAGGATCAGGTTAACAGGAAAGGGAATAGTAGTTTTAGGACTACTGTGTGAATTGGCAGTTACAGGCTGTCCTTCCAAGTTACCCTTTAGTTGCACAAATGCACCTATTCACTTCACCCTCTTTTTTTTTTTTTCTCCACAATGCAACAAATGCAACAATGCAACTGACACCTCAGTTGGGATAAGGAAGGGAAAGAGGGAGGTGCTGAGAAGTTGGTAGCTCAATTGTAAAACCTTGTTGATTTGTTCTTTAAAAACTGGAGAATCAGATGGATTGTACAGAAGATAAATGACAGGACCCTCAATCAGAAGGTGACTAGCTCTAGGTTCTGATATGCTTCTGTGGGCTCAGAGCAGGGGAATTGCATTATCCTCTGAAACTGTTAATGATCCTTTCTAAATATTTTTGAAGCTTTGGACTTTGATAGACTGCTAATCTTGTCAGAAAGGGAGCAGTTGTTTGCCCAGTGTAAATTGGCAAATGAATATTTTATTATTTTATAATGGGTGGGAGGCATGTGAATGGAAGACTTGGTCATTCAGAGATTGCAGCTGCTTGTCTCTGGGGATCTCACATTGTGTCTTTTTGGCATTTCAGAAGAGCTGCTGGAAAGCTGCCCTGCCGTAGCCGCTGACGCTATGGAAGACCGCATCCCCGGGGCTCGGCTGTAGGATGGTAGCTCACAGCAAGGTGTCAGCAGATAACGCAGTTGCAGCAGACCCGAGATGTCTCCTTGACCCTCCGGCACGGGATCGCTCACAGGCTCGAGGCTACCAGGGCCCAGGCCGGCCCAGCACTCTGCAGGCACAGAGCAACACCCACTTCCGAACCTTCCGCTCGCAGGCGGATTTCAGCAGCATCACTCGAGCAAGCAGCCTGCTGGATGCCTGTGGCTTCTACTGGGGACCTCTCACTGTCAGTGCTGCCCACGAGAAGCTGAAGTCTGAGCCCGAGGGCACCTTCCTCATCAGGGACAGCACACAGAAGAATTGCTTCTTTGCCATCAGTGTTAAGACTGCGACTGGGCCCACCAGCATCCGGATAAACTTTCAGACTGGGCGTTTCAGCCTGGATGGCAGCAAAGAGAGTTTTGACTGTCTGTTCAAGCTGCTGGAACATTACCTATGCTCCCCCAGGAAGGTCCTGGTTACCCCCCTGCGCAAGGTCCGCGTGCAGCCCCTGCAGGAGCTCTGCCGGAAGAACATTGTGAAGGCTTTTGGAAGAGACAACTTAAACCAGATTCCCCTCAATCCTGTTTTAAAGGACTATCTGAAATCCTTCCCGTTTCAGATATAAGCAAAGCATTAACTGTACAGGGAGAGGTGAGAGATGCGTGAAGAAATCCAGCTTCCTGGGTTTTTTAACATGTTTGACAGTGAGCAAACTTATTTTTGTAGCAATTTACTGTATTTTGGGATGGAACTTGAACACTTGACTTCTTATGTTTACAAAAACTGTTTGCACAAATCTGGGGTTTTAAAACCCTGGCATAATTTTTCTGCTAAGCAGAATATTTTGCTATTTTATACTATTTTTAATTATAGTAATGTAATAAACTTTATTGTGAAAGTTCTTAAGAAAACCCAGCATCTCTGTTTGTAGTTTTAAAAGCTCTGATACCTATCCTGCTGACAAACCTTTAACTGCTAATTGTGTAAGTACAGACAGGTCTCCATGTGGTCCTGTCTGTTGCCCTACTGAACTAGCCTAGTCCAGCAGACACAGGATTCCTGCCCCAAAAAGCCCAAAATAGAAAGATGCAAGTGAGTAGAAAATGTGCCCAGGAAACTAGCTCTATTCTAAATCCATGAGAGCAGCAACAGTGTAACACTGCAGGGGTGCATAATTTTTTAAAGGGTAAATCAAACCCTTGGCCAAGCTAATTTCACCAACTCTGGCTTGCCTTGTTTATATTAAAAGCTACAAGGCTCTGAGCAAGAAGTGGCTGTCTGACAGAACCAAACCACGTTAATGTTGGTGAGGAAAAATAATGCCAGATATTGCATTTATACACTTACAAAGCCTGTGAACACTTATCATTATGATGCACAGGGAGAAGGATAGCTTAGTTCACTCTAAATTGGTATACACAAAATGGCAAAGGTGCAGGCACCTTCAGACTTCAAAAAGGTGTTTCTTGTCTCAAATTCCTGGTGATTTACAGGGCACAGACTTGATATTTTAAAAGAATCTATGACTTAGCTCCAGGATAAACCTATAGATTTGCAGCTGTAAAATCTAGTGGTTAAACTGCATTCAGAGAAAGTTAACTCCAGACTGTTTTGTAATGCCATTTGTAGGAAATGAGTGAAGACACTATGTGGTTTGCTCATAAAATGAAAATCAGTGATCCACAGAGGTGTAACTGTGAATGACTTGAGATGCTGAATTTAGCAAAAGGTCACCTGCATTATGATAATTCTCCCTTTCCCCCAAGCATTTCCTGAAAACCATGAAAAGCAGACTTAGAAAACCAGTTGAACCAAATCACTTCAAAGAAGGCACAGTCTTTCACAGAAATGTACTCTTACCAACACTGATCTAAGATGCTTACAGTAGCTGTAAGCAGCAAAAGTAAAAATCTTTTGGAAGTGTTTGGAAGATAAAAGGTCTTTCCCTTTCCTGTAATTCACATTCCTTTTAAAGCTAAAGCCACTTCTAGGAAACACTGAGTAGTGTTATATAGTATTCCTTACTAAATATTATTTAAATATATAATTTACTCTACAAAATCAGCTCTTACATCATTGATGCTTCTTTGGAATAAATAGGTTTCCTCCTCAAACATGACTAAGGATCACACACAGTGCACTGAACATTACAAAAAAGGGAAAAAGAATGAACATAAGGCAGTATCATGTGACTCTTTGCTCTGTGGTTTCCCTAAAAAATATTTTTTGGGTCAGCACTGCCTAGAAATCTCCCATTTCCCTGTCAGCCATGCCTGGCAGAGATCAGCAGACAGCGTTTCTGCTTAATTCTAAAGCTGGAATTAGTTGCCAAATGATATATGAAGCATTTTCCCACCACAGCTGCAAGGGAATATATTGGGGAAGCAGGGAATGCTGTGCTATGCAGCAGATAAGAGAGCAGAGCAAAGCCACTGCCTGAATGTGAATAGGAGTTAAATTGGAAAGAAAAGAAAAAAGTCCTCATTGGGTGAAGGCTGCCAAACTGGTTTGCTGTCAGCAGAGATTGTTATCCCTTTCCCAGTTCTCTTTTCCCAGCCCCAAACAGTATCTTTTAACCCTGCAGGCCCTATTAACTCTTGCCTTGCTATGTGAAGGAGTGTCCTCATCTCAGCACTTACGGCAGAACAAGCACAATGTAGCTTAGAAGTTTTTCTCCACTACCTGTGATAATGAACAAAACTAGACCTAGATATATGGTAAGGGGCTTGCCACTGAGGGCATGGAATGAAAAGCATGAAGACTGAACACATTTAATTTTCTTCCTGGCAGAAACAGACCTACTTTCTCCCTCCTATTGCATACAATACAGTGACCAAGTAGATCCTCTTTTTAGCAGGTATATGTAGGTTGCTTCAAAGCAACTAAGAAATCCTAACCACAGCCTGCGTGTCCACAATGGCAGTCTGACCTGCCCTCTGTAAGAGCTAATGAAGGACCCCACCCCACCTTTTGCACAGTTCTTCCCTCTGACCTTTTCACTCCTGACTGGGTGGAAAGGAAAGTAAACAGTCAATCTGGTAGGGGTCTACAGAGTAATTAAAAACATGCTTAGGAGGAGAGCAAAGTCAGGTTTTCTGAAGAGACTGCAATATTTATAGTTAGTAGGGAAGGGACAGCTTTAAAATAATACCATTTGCAGTATGGCTGGGTCACCCACAAGGACCCTCGGGATCTCTGTCCCATAGAGAGCATCAGGGTGGGAACTGTGCTGCAGGGTCATGCTGGGACACCACCCCAGCCCTGCAGTAAGTCAGTGCTCCTGTGACTGTACAGGCAGCAAGACTAAAGCTTCCTTGCGTTTTAAAGACTGAAAAACACATTTTATTTCAGAGTAGGTTAATTTACATACCATGCTGCAGCTGTAAAACACTTGCTGAGGAATAGAGCTAATTAATGGCAGCGTAGGTGTTCAGAGAACCTGGTTAATTTACCATGAAGAGTTACTGAATGCTCAGTAGGAGCCTCCTGAATGACAAGCATAATCTTACCCACTGTGAAGCTGTGGTCACACTAATTCTGTTATGATTGAAGTCATTTACAAGAAGTGAGGCTTCAGCTGCAGTCAGCACTGATGCTATTTTCAACAGTCAAGAAAAAAGTGTCCTCTAGGGCAACACACTGACCGTATCTAGCCATCAATACTCTTCACCCAGCTTGTACTTAATCCTCTATTGAACAGTGTATCCACCTCCTGAACCTTTTTCTTCAGTTCCAGCGTCAGCCCTTCCTGTTGTGCTGGGCTCTCAGTCAGTCCCCAGCTCTCCTTCCACCCCTTCATTCATGGTGCTGACAGCTGTGCAAGAAATGCATTTATTCACTAATTCCAGCTTTAAGACAAATGCTGTGTAACAGTGACTTCCAGCTTTACACTGCTTTCTGTAGAAAGTGTAAGCTAACCACTGCACGTGCAGTAGATTTCCAGGATATCTTTCCCAATTGCAAAGTACTGTTCAAGACTTCTTACTGACACCAACTTGCCTGTTGTTGTACTTGTGCACACTACTCAGATCCTGTCACTGTATCTGACTTTTCCCTCCACAGCTGTTTCCCAACATAGCAGCTGAAGTTGCTACACCTGGGTCTGATTTGCTCTTTGTGTCACCATGGAGTAACAGAAATACAGGCCATCAAGGAGCATAAAGAGAAGCTCAACTTCTTACACCCATTGCAACATGTACCCACTGCTCAAGTATGACAAAGCTGCAAAGGCTAATGAGTCAGAAGATAAAACCCTGACAGGTGAATTGGCCACATGTCAGAAGTATGTTTCCTGTCTGGACCCCTGTGGCTTGCTTTGGATGTGTTTATTGAAGATAAGAATTATAGAGATGATGCTTTGGGCATAGAAAAGACTATATACCCTATAGTCTTCAGCTATGAGAAGAACAGATATTGTGAGGATGGAATAGCAGCCAAACAGAATAAAGCAAATAACTAACTATGCCACAAGCCACATTTGTTCAGTGTCCTTCATTCTGCTCCACTTGATAATATTAGCAAGGCAAAGAAGGATCACCTTTCTGTTGTTGTTTTAATCTCAATTAGAGGTACATTTTTGTAGCTCCCAGACATGTAGAAGAATGATAAATCCTGTCATCACTCTTATAGACTCTCCTGTGAATCACTACTGCCTGGCCTGCTTTTGCATTTTAGCACAAACATTCATCTTCACTAAGAGAATGTTGGGTTTTTTTGTTCTCTGCTGCTAACTGAAATAAAGCAGCTGTGAAGATGTGCTTATTTTTTGCTGAATGAGATCCACTGGCCACTGTGCTGTGCTTGTAGGTGTGCATAATCCCTTCAGACATTGCTGTGGAAGTAAAGTTCTTTCTGAATGCTCAAAAAAGGGGAACTTTCCTTACATGGCTACTATGTTTTTAATCAGAAGCCTCTTACACACTTATCTAATGCTAAACACTTATCTCTTCTTCTACAGAAACACTCAATAAATTCCCCTTTCTTCCCAATGTAATTAATGACTTCTTAGTTCTGTTTTTGTTACAGGAAAGGGTTATTTGGTTTAATATTAATAGTATCCTTGTTTACACATGATTCTGAATTCAACAGCCTGTAGTTGTCTATACAGAATACAGTGGGCCAAAACATGCTCAGGTATACATTAAGAGATTGCATGGTATGCAGGCTTTGGCTGGGATAGAGTTCATTTTCTTCACAGGAGCTAATATAGGGTATGTTCTGGATTTGTGCTGGAAACAGGGCTGATAATGCAGAGATGCTTTAGTTACTGCTGAGCAGAGTTCATACAGTCAAGGCCTTTTCTGCTCCCCAAACTGCCCCACCAGCCAGCAGGCTGGGGGTGCACAGAGATGGGGGGACACAGCTGGGACAGCTGACCTGGCTGACCAGAGGGATATTCCACACTGTATGATGTCAGGCTCAGCATATAAAGCTGGGGGAAGGAGAAGGTAAAGGGGACATTGAGAATTATGGCATTTTGTCTTCCCAAGTGAGTGATACACAAGACAGAGCCCTGCTTTCCTGGAGATGGCTGAACACCTGCCTGCCCATGGGGAGGAGGGAATGAATTCCTTGTTTTGCTTTGCTTGTGCACCTGGCTTTTGCTTTACCTGTTGAACTGTCTATCTCACCTCAGGAGTTTTCTCACTTTTACCCTTCTGATTCCCCTCCCCATCCCACCGGGTGGGGCTCAGTGAGCTAGCAGCTGTGTAGTGCTTTGTTGTTGGCGGAGATTAAGGCACAATACATGGGCAGATCCAGAACAGTGCCAGGATGCTTATAGAACACACTGACCCAGACATCTGTGCACTTGCAGTATCACCTAGTTCAGGGTGTATACACAATGTTGTTAGCTTAATGCAACTTGTGGATCAGATCTGGTGATCACTAGTTGGACATT